CTGATTTTTAGCCGCGTAAAAGCAAAATATTGATTTGCAGTATGCTGCGCAAACTCTTTTTTGGATAATCAAAACTCCCTTTTTGACTTTAATCTTAAATTTCATAGTTAACAGTGTTGATGGCGGAGGGCTCTCCCTAAGGCTATGTTAAAGCGAGAAGAAAAGTTTACAAAAAGATTCAAATTAAAAGCTGTGTTGCGCACAGAGTAAGTTCACGTAAGGAAAAAGGTTTTTGATTTTCTTGAATAATGAACGGAGACTTTTTTGATTTGATATAGCCTTGCGATGGTAATGGTAGGTGAAAACAGATACATGCTTAAATTAGCCATCTTATATCTCTCTGGTACTCACTGAGAAAGCGCCGATAATGATGCACTCTGTAAACACCTTGTTCTCCTCCCCTCGTTTCTTCCCTGAATTTTTAGAAGGTATGTTTCGTGCTTAGTACTGCTGTGGCGCGGTATACCCAAAGAAAGTCCCTTACCCCCAAAAATGGATCGCGAAGTTTTGAAAGCTAATGCAGGAGCTGTAAAAATATGCAAGTGACTTGTTTATACCTGCAAAAATAATCATAATAATTTTCAAAACTTTTAAAATTCATCTCAACCTTGTAAAAATTGTTTGGGGGAGTAGCTGTCCTCAAGCCCCTTTTTGTGAAATTTCGGGTTTGCTGATGATTTTTTCGACTTTTCGGCCTTGACCCGTCAATAGGATAGGCTCAGACATTTGGCATACCTTTTACTCTACACTTGTGCATAGGTCACAAAATATTATGTAATGTTTAAAATAAGTGAGCATATTTACACTTGTAAAAGCTAACGTGTTTGATTTTCAGAAGGAAATAAGCACCATGGTTGAAGCAGCGCTGAAAGCTGGCTATCGTCTCTTTGATACGGCTGAACTGTACAAAAACGAGAAGGAGCTTGGAGTTGCATTTGCTGTGAGTTGTTGGCATAATGTACTTACCATACTTAGTATTAATCCTGTTTATTTAGGAATATCTACCTAAATTTGGACTCAAACGTGAGGATATCTTCATCACAACAAAGGTCCAGATCATGGACGGAAAGGTCTCCGAGTGGGCAGAGCAAAGCTTGAAAGAATCGCTGGAGAAACTCAAAACCGAGTATGTAAATTAATACAATGTGTTCCAGCTAAAAGCTGATTGAAAACTGTTACAGCTATATAGACATGTTCTTGATTCACGCTCCCAGAGATAGAGTTGCCGGAAAAGATGATGCCTATGAACTCAATAAAAAGGGAAGGAAAGAACTTTGGCAGAAAATGGAAGAGTTCAAAGGTAATTTCTGCTCCATGACGAAGGCGGTTGCCCAAATAGGTTGAACGCATGCCAGGCTGGCGCGCACGCACGCGGG